GTTTGTGTCTTCTACCCGTCCCCTGACCCTGTCCTACATGGGTTTCCTCCGGGTTCTTCGGGGTTTTTTTCCACAGCTAAAAAAAACCCGTTAGAATGTAACCGACCTTGACCAAAAAACATTCCCAAGCTGAACAAAAAACGTTCTTACTCAATTGGCAGTTGCACATTTCAAAAACGGCCTCCTGGCTGCGACAACGTTAGCAGAAGACGCGCCTGGAAAAGAGTTGGTCTTGGGACTCGGTCGTGAGTCTCTGCCGGTGTAATACCATCGTTCGTCCACAGTCCAGGGGTTCTCAACCAGGGGGATACGTGGCAGTGTCCCAGGGGGTCGACGTGAGATGATTTACAAACCGTGCGAAATTATATCATGCGCGCGAGCCATTGGTGAATAATCACGAGTGAGTCTGCCAACATATCAAATAACTACGATAACAATTTGATACCTCGTAAATTGGGCAATCGATTAAAATATTGACGTTCATTAATTCGTACATGTATTTATCAGAAACACGTTGGGACATGCAAGGGGGAAGGGGTGGGGGTACTGTACTCGACAGTAGCAAAAAACAAAGGTTGAATACCACTGGGATAATTGATTAACAATAATAACAATTATCAAACGCGGCTTTGTAGAATGTACGAAATCCACAAGCGGTGTTTGTAGCTCATGTGCCCCCCGCGAGCTACGAATCTTCCGCGCCGTGGCAGCTTCTCTCTCCGGCACGGCAGCGGGAGTGGGTTAATCCGCATGTTAATTTAACTCAACAATCCTCAGGGGGGGGGGGGGGTGTGGAGGAGGGGGGAGGGGAGATTGCCCCCTTTTATATGTAAATGAGAAGCGACGGTGCAATCGACGGAACGTGCGCTCCGCGGCGCGGACGCACGCGTGTTGACCCACCCCAAGTAGCAGCGGCAGCAGCAAGCTCCTCCGTTGCTGTTTCTTTAAGCTCGTCGCGCTGAAAGTATGAATTATGCATTTTATCCCAAACATTACCATTTTTTTCTCTTTTTTTTTCTTCAATGTAAATATTTAGTTTTGTTTTTTAAACGGCTGCTTGTCTGGATAAATCGTCGATTCTCTCTTCATTCGCGTGAAATCGTCTCGTTATGGAACCAAAAGGAAATTCACGCACTCGTTTTGTGTGGTGCTGCTGCTGCTGTGGTTGTGTGTGACTTTGCTGCGGTTGTGTGGTGCTGATGCGGTTTTGTCTGGCGGCGTAGCTGCGGCTGCGTTTGATGCTACTGCGGCTGCGTGTGATGCAGCTCCGGGTGGCGTGTGGCTACGTTTCTCCCGCAGTTTTCAAGTCAATTGCCGGCGATCGTGTTGTCTCCACCGCGTCGCGACATTAATCCTGCTCCCACTCTCGCGCACGCCGCTCAACGCCTTCGCTGGGTGCGTGGCGCGCGTGTGCATCGCACGTGTGCCGTGACGATGCCCCCAATGGAGACGGAGGGGGCAGCGGTGGTGGTTCCGCGCTTTGAACCAGGCAGCAGCAACTCGGCGGTCGTCGCGATAACTTCTCAAGCGCCGTTGCGAAGGCGCGAGACACACCGAGCGGCGGACACAGCCGAGAAAGATGTAGACGCGTCGAGATCAGAGAATTTTGATTTAAAGCTTTCGTGACTGCAGCAGGGATTCATCTTCTTGGTTCTTTCGGTAAAGTCACGTAGAAGGGAAAGAATAAAATAATAAAACATAATAAAATAACTTTCGCGACGTTTCGGCCACAACGCAAGCAGTCTGTCGGAAAGACAGCGTCTGAATGACGCTGTCTTTCCGACAGACCTGTTCTTCACCTGAAGATGGCTGCTTGCGTTGTGGCCGAAACGTCGTGAAAGTAATTTTATTATGTTTTATTATTTTATTATTTCCCTTCTACGTGAATTTACCGAAAGAACCAAGAAGATGAGATCAGAGAAATGTCGACAGAAATACAGAGGCAGTGGCATTATAGAAGAGCATCATAGACTAGAGATGAGAGGGATTAATTGGCTTTTTCGTTAATTAGTTTTTCATGTTAATTGGAATTTGAGCTGATATTTGATACGCCCATATATTTCTTTCATGAATCTGGGGCTCCTTTGAGGTTCCAGAGGCTCTCGACGCTTTCGCTCTCGTTGTTTATTCCCAGCACTGCCAATGATAAGCACCCTCGGCTAAATTCGACGAATAATAACTTCAAGTTGGAATCTTTTCTCGCTCTCAAACAGAGAGAGAAAATGACTCGCGGGTGCGAGAAACCACCGATGTGTGGGAAGGTGGCAGCAATGCGGTGAGCCACCACCAAATTCCACCCTCCCTCCACTCTCCTTCCCCAAGCTCTGCTGTCCTTCATATATGAAAGTTTAATCGGCCAACTAATGAGTGTTTACACGTGGGAAGAAAAAAATCGAAGCACCCGGAGAAAACTCGCGCGTGTGAGGGCGCGACACTCCATCCCATAGAGATGGAACAAGTGGGGGGGGGGGACCACATTTGCCGCACCTCCTAGACACCCACCCATGGGAAGGGAGTTTCACAACATTGGTGTGGTGATCCACCAACCATCGCTGCTGCTGCTGCAGCCTCCACATCGCTTGACCACAAGCGGCCACGTGCATCGTAGCCACCACCACGACCGGCACAATTTTCCCGGCGTCACAGTCTGAGCCTTGGCCCCATGCACGCGCCTTCCACATAAACTAAAAACTAAACTGTTTTTATTTTACCAGGAAAGGCCCACTGAGCTATGCAGCGACCTGGCCACAAATGATAGCTCAACGAATTGGCTTATCATCACGTGGGAGTTTGTAGCGGTGAAATACTCCACACGCATACTGATTATAAACGTGAAGGGCAAAACCAGAGGATCCAGAGAAATATCCACGCAACCACGGGGAGAGAGACACGCAAACTCCAAATATACAGGCGTCAGGATCGGGATCAAACCCACGACCTCCTGCCTACCAAGCGAGGTAGTTAACATCTCGCAAACCGTGGTGCCCTAATCGGCGCTTGCCACGTGCGTTGACGCGCCGATTCGAGTGCGCAAGAAAAGTGAATTACGTTAATTAGTTAATTACTATGTATGATCATTAATTATCCGCTCATCAATAATGTATCGGAGATCTTTACTCGCGCGTAATTCAATTCGGCCGCGGACGGGCTGAGCGAGATGGGGCGGCTTCTGCAAAGACAAATATCGCCCGTGTAGCCCACACAGGCTGTAGGGGCAAGTGCTTTCAGCGAGCACCTATGAAGGTAGAAGCCGTGGTATGGCCGCAACCACGCCCGACCGCCTTTGTTGACGCACCGCGACCAAGAACTCATTGAAGGCTGAGTCGAAGAAGGGGGAGGCACAGGACCCGTTCAGATATTCGCCACTGATGTTAGCCACGTACACACACATCCATGGATGTGCAAAAGAAGATCCCCCGTCTAGCCTTTTAACAGACTGTTGGGTCAAGAGCTGTTAGTGAGCACCTATTAAGGCCGGCACAGCATACGAAGAGGGTAGGTGGCCAGCATCACACCCATTGTTTCCCAAGTGGCGATGTTTACACTTCGCACTAAGTCCTAATTGAAGGCTGAGTCGACCTATGGGAGGCCCAGTATCAGTTCAGAATTCGCCAGTGTGATTGGTCGTGAGCGAGAATCGAACTCGTGTCGCCGGGTTTCCAGCACAGTGCGCTCACCGCACACGCAAACACACGGACGCACGTGGATCGGATATCACCGATTACACTGGTCAACACACTTTTTCTGGCATCAGGTATTCCAACGGTTCTAAGGTAATTTTGGGGTGCTGATTACAAATCTGGCATCAGTTTTGTTTATCACATCAGGTTTTCGAGATATCAAATATTGCATTTTCAATAAAAACTGCAGAAGAAAAATATCAAATAAATGTGGATATCTACATAAAATGATATTATAAACACACTATCCTAAAAATACAGCACCATATTTTAACACTAAAGCAGTCACTGACTCGCAACAACTTGCAATCATAAGTGACAGAGTTAATTTCGGTTAAAATCAATGAAAATGGGGTATGCCGATAGCATAAAAATGAGATGTGATAGAGCAAATTTGAGATCAGATTTGGAATCAGCACCCTGAAATTAGTCTAAAACAGCTGCAAAAGTCCAGGCCAGAAAAACAATGTTTTTTTTTGTTGACCAGTGTAATCATCATGGCCTTCGTCCAGCAAAACGTCGCCGAGTTTCAGGACTCATCGTCGCGAGGGCTCTCCAATTGAGCCGTTTGGGCGATTTCGTTTGCGAGCGTTCGGCTGCCCGAGATAGGAAAGAGAATGTGGGTCAGGAGCGGTGGGGTAAAGTTTGGGCACTTCCAACCCGCCCGAGAAGTCTGGCCCACGTGCAAGAGTCGGACAAAATAGTCTCGGCTGTGGCTAACTAATTGGAGGCCTCCGTCCACCAGCAGCGGCATGAGCACGCACTTGCAGGGTTGCGCTTTTACTTTCCGCGTCACATACCCGGTGTGTTGGGGTAGAAGAGTTGTTTGGCAATATACTTCACCACTCCGGTCGATGTCGGGTTGGTGAAGGGAGCACATTTCATCTCGTTTCTCGCAGAGTACCCGGCTGGTATGGGCGCCCTCGATCCAGTGGAGCTACTCAAAAAACAAACAAAACTCAACACATTCATCAATATCAACACCGCGAGCGCACGCGCGCGGCCTCAAAATAGAATCAAATCTACAACGGTCGACGTTTTGGGGAATTGACCCTTCTTTCACAGCACGTAAATGAAGCGAAACGAAAACAATAACCCGCAAAGCACTCAAATCGCCGCCGCGGTCTTATTGACAAACGCTGTCGAGGGTTGCTTTTGTTAATTGTGCTCAGGCACCACCACCACCGCGCACCAAACAATCATCTCGATTCAGACGAGCTGCCCGGGTTCTGCAACGCGGCTCTCTCCAGCTACGTCTGAGCCGTTGGTGAAGCCACGTGCCCCCCTTTCTCCCGCCCCCCCACCCCCATTCCCCACCAG